CGTCGTCCACGTCAAGGCCGGCTTCGGGCGATAAGCGAGTGGCTGCAGCTGCCTCGGGGTGCAGAGCTGAGAAAGAGGCGCGAACGACCCTGGTGATTTTATGGAGTGTCAACCTGGGGTAATTGCTGCGACGGCGTAACATATTTTTTGGCAGAGCAGAATTTAATACCCGCATTACAGTATCGCGTGCGGATGCAGATGGTCTATAAAACTATTCGTTTTATAGTAAGCGGACTTTGCACGACGCATCGAAATATGCGAATATCTATTTTACATCTCTGTATATAAATTTCGGACTTTATCGCGGATAAGAGATCGTCGAAAGTCAATTTTTTGTTGTTGTTCCTTAAGAAATGAAGTTCTTAATGGTTTCATATGTAGCAACGAAATTTCACAAGAACCTTATCAATCAAATGCATGATAATTCTGCATATAAAATGTCACATCGCGAAATCGAGACGCGAATCTATAAATGTTCGGAAAGTTTCGCTTTCGGGTCGAATTACAAACGTAAAAAGTCTCTCACAGAGTCGTCATCTCGAATAGAGAGCTTGCGTCTCGTACACCAGAAACGCGTGTACATTTCGAATGCACTGCTCGGCTAACTACTCGCCTGAGGGCCGACAATCGTGTCGTTAAGGTGTGTCGATCCCCGGGGCGACGTAACAACGATACTATTCACCGCGGTTGGACAATGCGCTTGTTAAAAACCGCACGAACCCAACCGAGCGCGTACGTGCCGAGAAAGAGGGAGGATCGCTCTCTCGAGGAGCTCGAAACCGCAAAACCGCTTCGAGGATCGCGTCGCGGGGGACTGCCGCCGCCTCGCGAGCGCGGGACCCGTATTCACCGGAGCATCGGGGCCCCGCGGAGAGCACTCGCGTGACGCAAGCGGGCTCCTCTTATCTGCATTCGCATTTTTAAAAGCCCCGACCTCGTTTCGCGCTCGGTTCCTTACGAACGAGTCCTGCGGCCTCGGGCTCCGCTTCGCAGGAAAGAGAAGCCTGTCATCGAATAAATAGATCTAGAAAACCGCGACGATTACCTTGCGGTTCTGTCAAAGACCAGCCGCCGGCAGCAACGAGAGTATTCACGCAGAACGAGAATCGGAACGAAAAAAGAAGTGCGCGCTTTCATCTGTTCCGTGTAAAACTCCACAATAACAGACATTTTGCTGAAAACAAGAGGAATAGAGCAATAACAGATGCGAGACTTCAGTAAAGAGTTATTTTACAATTCGAAAATAATGACACCAACTTCGAAAATATATATACAGTGCATTCCCAAGACATGTAATTACGTATGATATTGCAACACATATTTTAAGAAAAAATTGACTAGAGGGACTCCACTATTATGGTATTCGTTAAGGAAGGGGGAAGACTACTACGCTTTATTATAAAAACGCCAGTATTATTTTCCATTGTGATAAGAATACGTGATTTATAAAATGAGTGCGTCGTATGTTAAACGTTTTGAGGCAGTGTTCTTGTGTACTCACAGTAAAGGACCTAAAATGACTTATAAAGCTGCTGCAAAATATAATGCATAAGTCAGAAGACTTTGTACGGAAGTGGGTAATACGATACAAAGAATTAAAAAATGTTAGACGATTTGCCGAGAGAGGAAAACGCGAAGGGACGTCAAAAAAAGAAGATAAAGTCATTTTAGAATTATTTCAGCAAAATCCTCTGTTGACATTGCGACAAGGACAAAAGTTATTGGCCAAAAAGAAAGTAAACATAAGTATAATGACTCTAAAAAACCGATTACATGAGGCGAACATCTCTTGGCGTAGCACGATACTGAAACCTTTCCTCAAACCAGAGCATGTCGAAAAGCGACGTTTATGGGCTACGCAAAATTTAAATCGTGATTGGACCAATATAATTTTTACTGACGAAGCGTCTTTTTACACATGGGTTCCTGCCAAACACGCATGGTCTTTTCCGGGAAAATCGCCTTTACAGCGCACTGTTAAACATCCAATTAAGGTTCACGTTTGGGGATGCTTCAGTTTCTACGGTTTTGGTTCTTTACACTTATTTACTTATAATCTAAATGCTGAAAAGATGCTCGAAATCTATCGGCGAGCATTATTAAAGTCTGCTGAGAAATGGTTTGGATCAGATAATGAATCGTGGATACTACAAGAGGATAATGATCCGAAACATCGCAGTAGGTTGTGTACTGCATGGAAAGCCGAAAATGGTATTCAGACTTTGGATTGGCCTGCGCAGTCGCCTGATGCGAATCCAATTGAAAATGTGTGGGCCATTATTAAGAAAAAGCTTCAAGGAAAGCGTGTGTTCACGTTTAAAACAATTGTGTCGCCATATCCGAATTATTTGGCGGTCATTACCCCAACAATATGCAGAAAATCTTACAGAAAGTATGCCAAGACGATGCCAGCGAATTCTCGATAATAATGGAGACTGGACGACTTACTAAGTAAATGCGTAATAGTGTTTTTAGTACACTTTAAATTAATCTATCAATTTTTGAAAAATAATAATTTTTCTTTCAGATATGCAGACGACGCTCTTGTTTGACAGACTGTACGTGCATTCCCAAGACATGTAATTACGTATGATATTGCAACACATATTTTTGAAACCGTTGAAAAAAAAAAAACTGAAAAATTACGTCTGTTTCGGTGGCGCAAAACATCATTAATTATAGTGTTCCACAACATTATAAATTAAGACACGGCGAATTAAGCATCGATCTCCAAGTTTCTAAATTCTTTTAGTGTAGATGTAATCCGTAGCCTCGCTGGAATTCGTGATATTCAAATGTTTCTAAATTGCGGCTCGTCAATTTCGCAGCGATCGGCAATTAATCAATCCTAACTTTGATGGAAGACGGTTACAAAGATGTTCCCCGTGCATGTAATTATGACAAATTAGCGTAAGACACGTCAATCAATTTTGATATTTCTCGCGGCGTATTATCTCAATGTATTATCTATTCGCGCGGCTCGCAACGGTTCAGATTAATATCGTGCCGGTTATGTGCCACATAAGAAACGCGAGAGCCCCACAGATCTGACTGGACACGAAAAACTGGTACGCAGGTGTCCGCCACGTGATTACAGCCAATAATACGTGAATTCCCGCGTAGATTGCAAGCATCGTCAGAGACAAAAAGAAGGACGACATTCTTATCGCCGTCGGTCCGTTCAATCCTTCTGCAATTATGCATTCCGCGCCGTTTAAGGTCCTCGGTATTTGATGGGCTGGTATCTTTACGATCTTCGGATATAATATCGTTTTCGGCGCGATCGTCGGTTCGTCCGTCCTCGTTGACGGTTCTCCGAACATTTCCAATTTTCCCCGCGACAGAATCCTCCGCAGGATTACGGCATCGGTTGTTTCGTCCGGTTGAGAGGTCTTCGGCACGGAGGAGGTTTTGGTCAGAGTAATTCTGGTGAGAGACGACGCTCTGGAGATCGAAGTATCGTCCGCCGAAGTGGCAGATGTGTCAGGAGTGTCCAGTTTTAAAAATTTTAGCAGCAATATCGGATCGAACTCTTCCGGCAAGGAGAATACGTCTTCTTCTGACGCGGCAACGCTCGTCACATCGGGTTTCTGACGATGATGGCGGTGGTGATGATGGTGGTGATGAGCCTTTAATGGATTGCACGGTCCTGGGCACACCATTGGTCGGCCTCGACAGGCATGTCGAGGCGGATTCATCATCTTCGATTTTCTTTGTTGATCAAAGCATGAAGCAAGATTGATGCGTCTAGTACAAAGATAATTAAATCAGAGCTGACACGGAGAGATTTGAAGTTATACAGAATTGTGATCCAGTAGTCTCTCGAATGAAAAGAATTTTTCTCCCACCGAGTATTCGTCGCATTACATTCTTTACACACTTAGCAATTATGTAATAAATATCACGAAGCGAAATGGCGCGATTGCGTTTTAAAACATATTCCGCTACATCTGCTTTTAGCGATAAATTAACGGGAATCCAGTTTTTCGCCGTGAAAAAATCACCATTATGACGTATCTGCCATCTGATCGCAGAAAATAGCCCGGCGTTCTTTCCCGAGGCGCGTAAATCACGAGCGTAAGTCCATCGCGTGCGATCGCTGGAGGACGTACATTGTGAGGTTGTGAGAGCTCTCGGTCGGGAACCCGGGACGAAGGTCAGGCTTATGCTTTCCGTGCTGCTATGCCAGCGGGAAATCCAGCGCAGCGTGTACCGATGTCAATGCGATGAAGGCACGTCCGGTCGGCGCGTGCGCTCGGCCGCTTTTCGAGGTGTTGAAAAATCGACGGTCGAAATTGAAGGCTGGAACTCTTTTTGTGACAAAGTCCGAGAAAGCGACACGTTCCTTTCATCAAATCATCTGTTGAATTGTCAGGACAGAGTCAATTTCAAATCGTATCATCGCAGAAAGCAAGAAGAATTATTTCGAAAGAACGATGACGAAAAGTTGGGCGTTTTTCAATTCTTTTTTTTTTTTAAATATAATTTTGTAGAAATGCGCTGTTGAAAAAAAAGGAATGAAATTATAATATTGCGAGAATTTAGAATAATACCGTATGTTTACTGAAATATTTATGCTGCTGAAAAAGTGTTACAGGCGCCGTTCTATAATTAACAAGTTCCACTATTGCGAGATTGCAATGATTATAAAAGTGGAGTATACGTCACAAAGTTCAAACGTTTACCTTGATTTTGTTACGTCATTTTATGATTAAAAGAAGAGGTTACATTCAGCAAATATTCATCCATTGTGATGATAAGAATCGAGATTCGCTTTTGTTCTCATCAATCTTCACGTTTATCATTTACGAGACTATTTTGGAAAATATAATTGCTTATAATTTTTTAGGTTTAAGTAAAATTGCTTTAACTCTGTTTTTTTTTCTTAATTAGGATTAAAATTGATTAAAAATAAGAATATTATTCCTGAAATATCATTTGTCAAGCGCTCTATTATTTACACCGCATTTATCGCAATTATGATGCGTTTATTGTTGCAGACGAATGTTTCCAACTTGCCGGGTGTCCTTCAGCGGACTGAAGTCCGAGGGTCGTTACGCGGTGCTAATGGACATCGTGCCGGTCGACAATAAAAGGTATCGATATGCCTATCATCGTAGCTGTTGGTTAGAGGCCGGCAAAGCTGACCCACCGGCGCCTGCGCGACTTTACGTTCATCCCGATTCTCCCTTCACCGGCGAGCAGTTGCGGAAGCAGGTTGTTTCCTTCGAGAAGGTGAAGCTGACGAACAACGACATGGATAAACACGGCCAGGTAAGAGAAAGCCGTCGGTATCTGATACTCGTGATCAATTCGGTATCCATGCTGCGATATCTTTGACAGGGCCGAGACATATGTTTTTTGAAAAGCTGAATTAATTAAAAATTAATCGCGGAAAATTATAAAAATTCAATACATTCTCATAAGTTATTTTACAACTTCTACTCGATGAATATTTACATTTACAAATTAATTCTTCATCGTACAATTATTTCGATTTATCATATTCGTACAATCCGACGGTAGATAGTCACTCGAAACAGTGAAATATTCACACTGTTGCGAATGAAGCGTGTAAATCGACCACTGATCTCCATATAATTTCCGTCGTGGAGGATAATTTCGCGCGCGCACAGGATTTTCCTCCTCCGGCGGCCCGCGCATAGAAATTGTCGGCGATAAGACGCTTCATGCACCCCGGCCATTACGCCGTTCTGTAATTTGCGCCTGCCTTTCAGCGGATGCGTAATTCCTGGGCCGCGGCGTATCTCCCCTTTATTTCGGAGTTTAGCGCACAATGGCCGCCGGACGCGAAGTGTCGGGCCCGTGTTGGACATGCTACCGCTATTACGTGGCGCACGGAACCTTCTTTTCTTCGCGTTCGATCATGCCCTGAAGATATAATCTGTAAACATAATTCCCTTGATGATTATATATATTCGGGATCTTAAAGAAATCTTCTAATTTATATATAAAAGATTCACGGGATGTCCACTAAAGCTGGAAAAACCTGAAAAACCTGAAATTCTCGAATCAAGAAATTTTCAGATCTTATCGATTGCTCAGGGAATTTCTGTTGAAAATTTCTCTTCGATGATTTTGCTTTTATTTTACGATTAGCTCCTCGTTTCTTTCTAATTCTTTTCTTTCAGTTTTCTTACTAAGAATATGACCAGGAAATGTTAAGAAATTCACACAATAAACAAATTTATTCTAAATTTTCATGTAAGAAATACTCTATTTTTGCCAGAAAATGTATTTTCGATTTCCAAAGATTTTTTCCATTTTTTTTTTAGTAGGCATTCTGAGATCCCAATTTGGAATAAATTTTTCCAAAATAAGTTTAATTCAATTTTTCCCTAATAATAGTTTAAATGTATTAAGCATCAAAGTAGAATATTTTAAGAACAAGAGCTCACGCATTGAATGGATCGCGGGCGGCGATGCGCCGAAGGCCTCCGCAAATTCGACGATTGAATATAAGCGACGTGCGGGCAACTTTAACGAACGACCGGCGCCAACGACGTCGACGATGCTCGCAGTGTCATTTTTCACGCCCTCATATCAATTCTCTTGGCCTTTTCTTGTTCTCGCTCGCATGATTGTTGACGAGTCCTCGAGCGCGCCGAAAATGGCCTCGTAAAACGCATACGCCGGGACATCACCCCGTCAGGGTGGAAGCGTGGGCTTGGTTATCATCGGCGCGAGTCGTTAATCGTGGGCGTCGCTGTTGCCAGAAACATAATAATATTCCGTCCTCGCCATTGCCGCCGCCGTCGTTGGCCGATCGATGACAAACCAATCTCTCGTTGTTCATAAAAACTTATTTCTTTCGGGACAAAAGTGGAAATGTCAGAGGTTTTAGCAAAACTATTTTTATACGCAAAATAACCGGCAGAGAAAGATTTGAAGAAAAAATAATGATACAAAAACAGAGGATTTTGTACCTAACACTAGTTGTTAATTGTTTATATTATAATCTTCTTATTAAATACATATCCTAACAATCTTGGTTAACTTGATTAAACGTTTCGATCAATATTTGATTGTACAGCACAGAAATATGGAAATTATAACCATTCCTTTCTATATTTCTGTGCTCCCTTTCTCTCTTCCCCCTCTTTTATTTTCCTGTTGCATTATTATAGTTCTCATCACAGTCGTCCGTGTCGTTGGCATTGTTAACACGATTTATACTAAAATGATTATTTTTATACATCTTGATAACGGTCTCAGAAGTATGTTTCTCGATTCCTTTCCGTTTAATTTATAATTTTTATATAGCTTGGCTCACTTGATTGTTTCTACATTTTATAGCATGACCTCAAACAGAAATTATATTCTACAACTATAGTTTGATTACTGAGGATGATCAAATATTGATCGAAACGTTTAATCAAGTTAACCAATATGAAGATCGTTAACATATGTATTTAATAAGAAAAAGATTGTAATATAAGCAATTAACAACTAGCGTTAGGCACGAAATCCTCCGTTTTTGTATTATTATTATTTCATATGTGCCTTTCTTCTTTTATTGATTTAAAGAAAAATTTGTAAAATTTATATGGAATGTATACACCGCTGGAAAATCACGCAACCTTACATGCGGGCATTAGAGAGGACGAAAATTCCGTCGCAGAGAATTGCAGTGGATCGACTATAATTTCGAGCATTTACGCGCAAAGTCACCGCGCCGATAAGCCGATGTCGAGGGGAAAATTTGAGACCGTGCGAGTCAGCTTGGCGATAAAACGCCGTCTTCTTTTCCGATAAAGAAGCGTCATAAGCGTGTAGCCGCGCGATAATGAAAAGTTGAAGTTCATGGGAAAGAGGCGGAGTAACAACGCCCGGCGGCAGAAATCAGGGATTACAACGGGAAAGCATGTTAATTGGATAGTTTTTGTGACAGGCGAATGAGCTTTAAATACCAGTTTCAATTATTTCGAATCGATATCTTGGAAATTCGATACTTTGGTAAACTATGAAATATTACATTCCATTTTGGGCAACGATTTGAAGCACAAATAAATAGCGTTTATCTAAAGATTGCGATGTCATCGGACATTGTGATTACGAAAATTGTAATTCGAGAAACCAAAATTTATTAGCTAGTAAATTATTTTTATGGCACAAAGTGTCATATTTTTTAAATACCACGCGTCTTTCGGGTAAAATCAATGATGCGTTACGAAATTGCCGCCTTGACCCATCTCGAGAATAGTGATATTTCGAGAGTACGTGGTTTAATTTGCGAATAATACACAGTGATACCTACATCGATCCCGCGTCGACGCGTTTTCCTGCTTATTAACGTGGGAACTCGACACCATGAAGAATAAATGCGCGAATTTACGGCGTGATTCGCGCCTTTATCGCGAGATTGGCGATAAACCGCGCGAAACTTAATATTCCGCTATCTCTTCCGACGTCCCGTTGTAAACGTTCGATAAAAGTTAATCCTCGGCTTAAAATATCTCTTTTACTCCTTAATTGGAAGTACGTATTTCACGCGCGACCCCCATGAAAATTTTTTACGTCACGAAAATAACTTATTTATATTGACTTTTGAATGAATTTTCAAGTACATAATATATTCTAATGTGCATTTTACACAGCACCGTTATACGCGCTTCGCTAATTACGTTCACAATTCGAATCAATCGGCCCACAGGCCGAGTAAATGGCAAAATATCTCAATATTTTTCCCAGGAATTTTCTCTTTCGGACAAAACCGGACGTTAAATATATTTGTCAAACGCACCGCGTATCCTCGCGTCAAGGGGGTTAATCTCCGTACGAACGCGATCAGCTCCCACCCTCGAGCGCTCGTAGAAAATATCACGGGTCCCTCTCGCGACCGTAAAAAGTGGGGGAGGACGACGCGGCTCGGAGGGTGCAGCGGGTTCGCCGGGCGAACCCGCTGCGGCGAAAGGGGCGAGGGGAAACCCCACCAGCTCGGAAGCATGCCCATAATGTTGCGGGCATTATAGGCAGCCCGCAGCCGGGTGTCGTAGGTGGTGTATAGTAGGTAGGTACGAACGACGGCGTTGCGCGGCCTATAAGCTAATAAATTGAACGGATGTTTGCCCCGAGCTTTTGTCATGATGATCACGGGTAGCCCACGCCCGGTCCCGTCGAGCACCTTTTGAATCTCTCTCGAGACGACTCCGCCGCGCCCGCCTCGCCCCGGCCGCGTCCCCCCCCCCTCCGCGTCGCGACAAGAGAGGATGCGTGTAAACGCGCGCATGAATGCTTTTCGGAGCTTTATCCGAGAGGAGGATAAATCGTAGAAATGATAATCGCGATGGGCGTGTTCCTGTCTTCTCGCTGTAAATTATTTAGTTTTTTCTCCCTCGCGCGCGCGATCGAATGAATGAATGATAATCGCCGCGGTGCTTCGGCGCTAGCGCGAAGGAAAATGAAATATCGGCGAACTGTGTTTCTGTTAATGCACTGCGAGTAAATATCAAACAAGTAAGCAAGTTCTGAGATAGTTTAAAAAAAAAAAAACATTTTCCATGTAGCTCTTGATCTCTATTAAATTTTACCTTCGTTAGAAATTTTCCTACGCTGTAAAAAGGATCGGTGCTTTGCGAGAGGTAGAGGGATTCCTGAAAAATCTCTGATGTTGTTTAATCTATTTCTCATTGAAAATACACATAATCTCCATGTAACTGAATGCAGTTAGTCGTCATGAGTCCTCACGCGTAAATCAACGTGACGTTTAAATACGAAAGACTCGGGAAGGTATTAACAGTTTTCGCCTGGATATTGCCGTTTCAACTTAGCACTTTACACATGCATTATCTTTAATGGCAGTATTGCTGTCAGTATCGTAATCCCCATCGTGATGTTCGCCCATTGATATCGCTGGTAAAAGTAGTCATAATACGGCGTCAGTATATGAATTCTACGGTCTCCATACATCGAGTGGGCGAATACGCAAATATAAACTGTTAATAAGCATAAAATAACAAGTATATCCGGGCGCACGCTTAAGAAGTCGAGTGTAACTTCCAACGGCCGACGCGCCTCTTCAAAATGTTTAAAGTTTGATCATTATTGTAACAATTCTTTTTCCTTTCTTTTTTTTTTTTCCTTCAAAACGTTTGACTCTCCGGTCACGGTCGATTTGCGTTAAACTGCGATCGGAAATAATCCGCGAGTGCAGTTGTTTCCGAAAAAAAAAGGAAGGAAAAAAAGAGGAGAGATTGCTCTTGGGGCGAGGGACCGAATCGAGTTTCGTGACGAGGAACTCGTACTGCTTTCCG